TAATTTGAGTGTAGCTGACACACAATGTTACATTAGTTTCAGGTGTGCAACATAGTGATTCAACAAGACTATACATTATTGACAATAGCCAAATTATGGAAGCTGCCCAAGTGCCCTTTCATAGATGAATGCATAAAGAAGATGTGGTATATACAGACACAATGGAATATCATTCAGCCACAAAAAAAAAAAAAAAAAGAAATCTTACCATTTGTAATGACATGGATGAAGCTAGAGAGTATAATGCTAAGAGAAATAAATCAGAGAAAGACAAATACTACATGATTCCACTCATATGTGGGATTTAATCAACAAAACAAATGGGAGAGAGACAAACCAAGAAGCAGACTCATAACTATGGAGAACAAACTGATGGTTACCCGAGGAAGGTGGATGGGGATGGGCATTAAGGAGTGCGCTTGTTATGATGAACACTGGGTGATGTATGGAATTGTTAAATCACTATATTGTATGCCCCAAACTAATAGAACACTGTATGTTAACTATACTGGAATTAAAAAATTTTAAAAACCACAACTCTATACATTATGCTATGCTCACCACAAGTGTAGGTATCTGTCATCTTACAATACCACTGACTGTATTTCCTATGATGTACCTTCTATTCCTGTGACTTATTCATTACGTAACTGAAGCCTAGATCTTCCACTCCCTTTCAACCATTTTACCCATTCTCCCACCTCCCTCCCCTCTGGCAACCATCAGTTTGTTATGAATAAACCATCAGTTTATTTATAGGTCTGGTTCTGCTTTTTGTTTGGTTGTTTATTCATTTGTTTTGTTTAAGATTTTTTTAATATTTATTTATTGTTGAGAGAGAGAGAGAAAGAGAGAGCAGGAGAGGGTCAGAGAGAGAGGGAGACACAGAATCTGAAGCAGGTTCCTGGCTCCGAGCTGCCAGCACAGAGCCTGACGTGAGGTTCAAACTCACAAACTGCGAGATTTTGACCTGAGCTGAAGTTGGAGGCTTAACTGACTGAACCACCCAGGTGTCCCTGTTTTGTGTTTTAGATTCCACATATAAATGAAATCATATGATATTTGTCTTTTCCAGTCTGATTTATTTCACTTAGCATAATACCCTCTAGGTCTAGGACGGGTAGACTTTGGTGAGACCACTTTCCCTACACCTACACCTTCCCGTAGATTACCCTGATCTGAACCTTAGAGAAAGCACCAGAGTTCAGTGGAGCATATATCAAAGCTTGGAAAAACTACAAATTTGTCGAGATCAAAGTGTTAACTTCAAAAGGTTAAGTAGGAAGCTCCTCAAGGATCTGGTAGGTTTAAAGTAGGTAAAGATTATATTTTAAAGGAGATTGGCCTTTAGCAGGGGAAAAATGTGCTGAGTGATGAGGTTTAAAAGGGGATGGGATAATTACTTGGAGTTGAGAATTATTCTGGATTATCACTTAAGCACCCTGGGCATGTAGCCAAATCTCTTGGGTTAATATTTCTTTTCTTTTGTTTTCCAGGATTAGGCAACAGCATAGCCTTCTGTCATTTTGCATTTCTTTATCTATTAAACAGTCAACCTGCTGTCTCTTTGGACCCAGAATATTTGGCTATCATCATACCCTTAATAGATCACCATAATCAATAACACGTTGGTATTGATATATTAAAACTGGACATCTTGGGGGAGGGGGATGGCAAGATGGTAATTAAAGTTCTGATCCTTTGGAAATCAGGTCTCATGGCCAGGTACTAGACATTATAAGATCCTAAGAATTTGGAAGACAAACATTTAGAGAAAACCTCCAAGGACAGACTTCCAAAAAGGGACAAAGTTCATATTAGTATGCCACTCTTATAGCTCTCTTCATAAAATTATCTTTTGCCATGACATGTGGGTTATTACAACAATAGGGGAAGAGAGGCTGAATCAGAAAAGATTTTGAAATGAGACAACTGGAAAAGGGATTTTAAAGTCTTAAAGTGTACCCCTCAAGGAAATGGCTCAAAGCATCACATTGTAGATTCCTTACTTGGACTTCACAGAGGCATAATCACTACATCTAACTGGTCTTGGGGGTGCCGAGTGGCTCAGTCTGTTGAGCGTTGGACTCTTGATTTCCACTTGGGTCATGATCTCATAGTTTGTGAGTTCGAGCCCCATATCAGGCTTTGTGCTGACAGAGCAGAGTCTGCTTGGGATTCTCTCTCTCTCTCTCAAAATAAAAAAAAAAAATTAAGGTTTATTTATTTATTTTTTGAGAGAGAGAGAGCAAGCAGGGGAAAGGCAGGGAGAGAGGAGACAGAGAATCCCAAGCAGGCTCTGTGCTGTCAGCACAGAGCCCTACATGGGCTCGAACTCACAAGCTGTGAGATTATGACCTGAACTGAAAGCAAGAGTCAGACGCTTACCCACAGAGCCACCCAGGCGCCCCTTTAAAAATTTTTTTTAATGTTTATGTATTTATTTAAGAAAACAATTTTAATGTTTATTTATTTTTGAGAGAGAGAGACAGAGCATGAGCAGGGGAGGGCAGAGAGAGAGGGAGACACAGAATAATCCGAAGTAGGATCCAGGCTCTGAGTTGTCCACACAAAGCCTGATGTGGGGTTTGAACCCATGAACCATGAGAGCATGACCTGAGCTGAAGTCAGATGTTCAACCGACTGAAACACCCAGGTGCCCCAATGTTTATTTATTTTTGAGAGGGGGCACACATACAGAATCTGAAGCAGGCTCCAGACTCTGAGCTGTCAGCACAGAGCCTGATGAGGGGCTTGGACTCATGGACCATGAGATCATGACCTGGACCAAAGTCTGATGCTTAACCAACTAAGCCACCCAGGCACCCCAAATAAATAAGCTTTAAAAAAAAACCTAACCGGTCTTTGTTATTATTACCTCATTTATTTAGCACTTTCTTAATATTAGACATTGTGCTAAGTGTTACCTATATAATTCCATTTACTTCTCATGAAAATACCTATGAGATAGGCACTATTAACATTCTCACTTCATTCACAGAAAACTGAGGCTTAATCCCAGCATAGTAAGACCTTGGTAAGTAGCACCTGGATAATGGGAAATAAGTGGCTAGCCGAGGCACTAAGAAGCACAAACACCTTTTAGAGCAACTTAACCAAGGCTAAAGCATAGTTATCATGGAATAAGAGAATGCAGAAGTCAGAAAACTGCTTTCTTAATGTTTTTAGGACTCTTACAAGAAATAGAGTAGATTAAACATTTTTAATTAGATTTTCTCATTTATTCATGATTTGCTCCCTTCCATGAGATGGGCACTGTATTGGGACTGGGAATATAATAATGAACAAATGCAGTTTGCAGGCTATTGAAAGACGAATCATTCAAATAATGGTAATATGAGAAGCGCTATAATATAATGTTTCCAAAACTTTTCTGCAAATGAGAATTCCCTGGGTGACTTGTTAAATAAACAGATCACCAAGCTTTTTCCATGGAAGTTCCGAGGTCCTGGAATATGCTTTTTAATAAACACTGTAGATGAGTCTTCTATTCAGGAAACTTTAGGTGTGTGCCCAAATGTTTCTAGTGATCAAAGGTCAGGTGTCTACCCAGGCTGGAGAGTTAAGGGTGGTTTCACAGAGGACGTGATAGCTAAATAAGAGTGTAGGGACAGGAGCCATTTCATTCTCCAGCAAGGGGACCCTCGTGCTCCAAAGTGTGAAAGTGTGAGCCAACACTGACCTATTTAGAATAGCAATTAGACACCACTGGAGCACAAGAGATGCAAAAGGAAATAGCAAATGTTAGGCTGGGGAGAAAGTTGGTGGTCAGATTATGAAGATTCTGGAATGCCATGTGAAGAATTTAGGACATTTAAATACTTTAAAAAATGTGTATTTACTTACAAAATATAAGGAGCTCTCTCCATATAAATTAATTCAAAGGAATATTACATGCTCAGATGTCCCCTGCTCCAGGGAAACCACCGCCTTCTTTCCTTCCTCTCTCCTTAGTTCATGGCCCCTCTCCTATGGCCTTCCTTAATATACTGTGTGTGTCTAACATATCGCATATGTATATTTTATGTTTACTATTCCATATTATATGCTTATTTGTCTGCCTCCTCCACTTCATTGTGAATTATTCTCTGAAGGCAAGGAATGTGATTTATTGTTTTTGTACTCATAGGAATGAGCAAGGCACATAATAAGTCCTTAGTGGTTTGTTTGTTTTTAATGTCTATTTATTTAAAAAAATTTTTTTTAACATTTATTTATTTTTGAGACAGAGAGAAACAGAGCATGAACGGGGAAGGGGCAGAGAGAGAGGGAGACACAGAATCCGAAGCAGGCTCCAGGCTCCGAGCCATCAGCCCAGAGCCCAACGCGGGGCTCGAACTCACGGACCGCGAGATAGTGACCTGAGTTGAAGTCGGACGCTTAACCGACTGAGCTACCCAGGCGCCCCATGTCTATTTATTTTTGAGAGCAAGAGAGAGACACAGAGCATGAGTGGAGGAGGGGCAGAGAGAGAGGGAGACACAGATCCAAAGCAGGCTCTAGGCTCTGAGCTGTCAGCACAGAGCCAGACAGGGCTCGAGCTCATGAACTGTGAGATCATAACCTGAGCCATAGTCAGAGACTTAACCAACTGAGGCACCCAGGTGCCCCATGCTTAGTGTTTTTTGAATGGAAGAAAGAGAGAGAGGGAGAGAATACTATGTTCACTCTTTTAAAAACATACATATTATTATCAGGACTTTTGACTACTCTGAATTGAATTAAAGAATAAATGCCTTGTCTCAACAACTCAGAAGCCAGTATCTGATGTGGTTTAAAAGCATAAAAAATATCCTGCTCTGTTAGTGTGAAGTTAGTTCAGTAATTAAATAGCTACAGTTCGTATACAGCACATTTAAGCTACATGGCTCAGTGAGAATATATAATGTTATCATATATGTTTTAAAGAGGACATTTCAGAAGTTCTAAAGGAAAGAAAGGTAAAAAAAAAATAACTGAATTCTAGAAGTTTAACTCACTTGGGGTGCCTCGATCATCTAACTCTTGATCTCAGCTCAGGTCTTGATCTCAGGGTTGTGACTTTAAGCTCCACGTTGGGCTCCATGCTAGGTGTGCAGTCTATTTAAAAAACAAAAACAAAAACAAAAAATTTAGAAGTTTAACTCACTTAAGGTTGTTGTTTTGTTAAGAACAATTTTCACTCGAAACTCATTAGAAGATTTATATGTAAAAATACATAAAAATCTAGAATCAAAAGCGATTACTTTTTATTTCACATGCATCAATTCTCTCATTTTAGATGGGAAGCATTTAAAAATATTTTCCACTTCATCTTTAATTTGCTTTAACTCTGATATTGTAGTCTGGCCCAATATCCTGTGATTATTGCATCAAGACAATGAAATATTGTAAAACAATCCTTCTTTTACAAAACAATTAGGTTTTTAGAAAAGTAACCCATGTTTTCCTTTTCCTCTGTCACTTTAAGTTTTCATTGTTGAAAACTTTCTAATTGCTTTTAATGTTTACAAATCTATTATTTTAAAATGATTTTATCTAAAAAGGTATTCTACAATAATTACTTTAAAATAAAGCCTTGGGGGGCGCCTGGGTGGCGCAGTCGGTTAAGCGTCCGACTTCAGCCAGGTCACGATCTCGCGGTCCGTGAGTTCGAGCCCCGCGTCAGGCTCTGGGCTGATGGCTCAGAGCCTGGAGCCTGTTTCCGATTCTGTGTCTCCCTCTCTCTCTGCCCCTCCCCCGTTCATGCTCTGACTCTCTCTGTCCCAAAAATAAATAAATGTTGAAAAAAAAATTAAAAATAAAATAAAATAAAATAAAGCCTTGGATTAAAAACTTATTTGGATATTTGTGACAACTAAAACAGAAAATGTCAGGTTTTAGAAAAAAATTGGCTTTGAAAAAGCAGTATCTTGCTCAATGTGGACATATGTGTTCTTTATAAGAACAATTTATATTAGAATCTATTGTTATTTATACAAATTTTCATTGAGTGGAGAATTGTACATCTGCCCAGTGAAGTTTTATGAAAAGAAGGAAAAGAAGTAAAACTATTAAACAGAGAAAAAATAATTTAGAAAAGATTTAGTGTAACTCCATTAGCAATTTGGATTCAGGCAATTTATCCAAGGAAGCAGTTATTTATGTTTGTGAAATTGGAGAAGAATGTTAGCTAGAAGTCTTCATTTTCTCTTGTTGGGTCATCTTGCTTAGAATTATGTGTGGTTGAAGTAAAACACAATCTCAAGCATCATCTGGGTGAGGAGTTCTTGACTTGCATTAGAATTACCTGAGAAGCTTTTTAATAAAAAGCCCTTACTCAGGCCCCATTCCTTTGCCCCCAGACCCCACCCAGTCTGACTCAATTTATCTGGCAAGGGGCCCAACATCAGTATTTGTGTGTATGTTTATTAAAATATACAAAACATAAAATTCACCCTCTTAACTATTTGAAAGTGTATAGTTCAGTAGTATTAAGTACACTCACAACGTCATGCAGCCATCATCACAATCGACCTCCCGAAATTTTTCATCTTCCCAAACAGAAACTGTACCTATTAAAAAATAACTTCCTGTTCCCTCTTTCTCCTCTTTAACCACCATCCTACTCTCTGTCTTGATCAATTTGACTGTGTTAGGTACTTCATGTAAATGGAATCATACAATTTTTGTTTTGTTTTGTTTTGTTTTGTTTTTGTGACTGGCTTAGCTCACGTAGCGTAATTGCCTTCAAGGTGCATCTGTGTTGTAGCACCTGTTAGAATTCATTCCTCTTTAAGGCTGCCAGTATCAGGAGTTTTAAAAGCTCTGCAGATGATTCAAATGTACAACCAGAGCTGAGACCTACTCATCTTGTCCAACTCCCTCCTTTTTCAGATGAGAAAACTGAGATTCAGAGAGAGGAAGTGACGTTCATTTATCTATCATCCACTTATTCATTACATATTTACTGCCCACCTACTGTGTTTCCAGGCACTGTGCTGGGTACAGTTAGACTCACACAAGGCCAAGTAAATTTGAACTCAGATTTCCTGATCTGAAGTCTTTGGGCAGCTTCACAGTTCCTCTTGCTATAATACACTCTTTTCCTTATGTTTAAAAACTGCAAATCCCAATAGCAGCAAGATATATTATTTTCTCTGGGGCTACTTGGGGAACCAATTTTTAATATACTTTTTTTTTTTTAACATTTATTTATTTTTGAGACAGAGAGAGACAGAGCATGAACGGGGGAGGGTCAGAGAGAGGGAGACACAGAATCCGAAACAGGCTCCAGGCTCTGAGCTGTCAGCACAGAGCCCGACGCGGGGCTCGAACTCACGGACTGCGAGATCATGACCTGAGCCGAAGTCGGCCGCTTAACCGACTGAGCCACCCAGGCGCCCCTTAATATACTTTTATGTAGACTTCTATTTAGAATCACTTTTATTTTCTCTAATTGTAATCAAAGTTAAATATAGTAATCATGAATCAAGCCAAACTATTAATTTAGTTGGGAACAGCTAATTTACAGTATCTTTAAGTTTACCCTCTATACCAAGAAGTACCTGGTAAATAAAAACATAGCAGAAAATCCTTAAAATGCTATTTCTCTAAAAGATGGGTGGGAAACCTGGAGCTTTCAATTTAATGTCATCGGGTCATGGGACATATCCAAAGAATTTATGCTTAAGGCCATGAAATTATAACCTTAAAGTATATAATACCAATACTCTTAAAATATATCCTTTGTGTAATAAAAATCAGTCAATAAAGTCCAACAATTTTTTTAAGTACACAAATGGAACATTTCATATTTCTTTAAAGATAAAATAATGAATTCATTTTATTTACATAAATTTTATATACTGATAAAATATATGTGACATAAAATTTACCATTTTAACCATTTTTAAGTGTATAATTCAGTGGCAGTACATACATCACAGTGTTGTGTAACCATTACCACTATCTATTTACAGAGCTTTTTCATCATCCCAAACCAAAATTCTGTACCCATTAAATTATAACTCTCCATTCACCACTCCTCCTTAGTCCCTGGTAACCCATTTTATACTTTCTGTCTATGAATTTGCCTATTCTAGGTACCTCCTATAAATAGAATCATACAATATTTTCTTTCTGTCTGGCTTATTGCATTGGCATAATGCCATCAAGTTTCATCCATGTTGTGTAGCATGTGTCAGAATTTCCTTCCTTTTTAAGGCTGAATAATATTCCACTGTATGGACATACCATATCCACTTACTTGTTGATTGTTGTTTCTACCTTTTGGCTACTATGAAAAAATGCTGCTATGAATGTGGATGTACAAATATCTGTTCCAGGCCCTACTTTTGATTCTTTTGTGTATATACCTATGTGAAGTTACTGTATCATATGGTAATTCTATGTTTAACGTTTTGAGGAATTGCCATACTATTTCCCATAGAGCTGTACCATCTTACATTCCTGCCAGCAATGTGCAAGGATTCCAATTTCTCAATATCCTTCCCACCTTTAGTAAAATTTCAACCTTATTTATATAAACTTTATTATATAATTCTTGATATTAAAATGTTTTTTAACCCCTCACCTTTAATTCTGCATTTCTAGGTTGCATGGTCCTTTCTCAGTCCAACATAAATGTTTAAATTCTTAATCTTAAACATATACCTTCTGTGTTTATAAAATATGTTCTGGGGTGCCTGGGTGGCTCAGTTGGTTAACCGTCTGCCTCTTCATCTTGGCTCAGGTAGTGATCTCACGGTTCACGAGTTTAAGCCCCACATTGGGCTCTGCGCTGGCAGTGTGGAGCCTGCTTGGGATTCTGTTTCCCTTTCTCTCTGCCCCGCCGCTGCTCTCTCTCTCTCTCTCCCTGTCTCAAAATAAATAAATAAGAATAAATAAACATTAAAATATGTTCTTATTGAAAACCTACAATCCATGTCACCGATATTTCTCCAGGTTTCACCAAGCTGAGAGTACTGACAGGGTCACATTAACAGTAATATCTGGGGACTCCTGGGTGGCTCAGTCGGTTAAGTATCCGACTTCGGCTCAGGTCATGATCTCGTGGCTCATGAGTTTGAGCCCCTTGTCGGGCTCTATGCTGACAGATCAGAGCCTGGAGCCTGCTTCCATTTCTGTGTCTCCCTCTCTGCCCCTCTCCCGCTCATGCTCCGTCTCTCTCTCTCAAAAATAAATAAACATTAAAAATTTTTTTTGAAAACCAGTAATATCTGAAATTTTCCTGCCTCTTGTTTCTAGGCATATCTATCCTTCTTCTCCTCTGGCCCACTTGAGGTATTCCTTCTTACAAGTTCTCAGGAAGTCTCCCTATGAGCTTGGGTACAGTCACTGGTGTAATTACTGGGGAAGCCACTGGAGGGCAGCAGTTCCCTCTTACCTTTGACCCTAGCCCTGGAGAGGATGCAGTCATCAGGCCCATAACATTTCTAAAATGGAAAACTCTCCAAGTGCTGCATGGCAACTATACAGAAACAGGGGTATTCCTCTTCCACACTTTTGGTCACGCTTTGTCACCTGGGTTTCATATAGTCCCATGCGGAAACTTGAGCACAAGTCTGAATCCAAGATTAATAACTGATTGAGAAAGTGAAAAAAAAGTCCCTGACAGTTTTTAGCTGGCAGCACATAGCTGGCTATGGTGTTCCCCCACTGAAGATAAACAGAGTAACAATAATTAGACAAGGTCACTTCTGTGACTATGGTAGGAAAAAGACAGTAATAATCATATCTGAACACGGGCAGAATGAGGACGTTAAGCAGCCAGGAAAATAAGCAAACACTCCCCTGTTCTAGCTATGTGAGTGACTCCAGCCCTCTAGGTAAAATTTAGATATCCAATCATGGAATTGTCCCTGCGTCTTGACAGAACACAATCTAAAACAAACCCTCACTTCTCCCCAAATCAATCAGTGTAAGTCCAAGTCCTAACAAGACCCTCCCCACTGGTTCTTAACCTAGACACCCCCAGGTGTTCAAGTGTGCATTCTCCCTTGCGCAGCAAGCTTACAAACCCAAGTTTATTTGACAATAGTTGTAC